TGCAGAAATCAGTCTAGCATTAAATTATCTTCATGAGTGAGGGATAATTTATAGAGATTTGAAATTAGACAATGTATTACTGGGCTATGGTGTAAGGAAGGATTACCACTAGGAGATACAACCAGCACTTTGTGGTACTCCTAACTACACTGCCCCTGAACTTTTAAGAGGATGTCATTACGGCTTCAGTGTTGGCTGGTGGGCTCGTGGAGTACTAGTGTTTGAGATGATGGCAGAAAGGCCTCCATGTGATGTTGTTGGGAGCTCTGATGACCCTGATCAAAACACAGAGGATTATCTCTTTCAAGTCATTTTGGAAAACCAAATTCACATACAGTGTTCTCAGTCCATAAAAGCTCCAAGTGTCCTGAAGAATTTTTCAACAAGGACTCAAGGCAATGATCGGGCTGTCATCCTCAAACAGGATTTGCTGATGCTCAGGGGCATCCATTCTTTTGAAATGCTGGCTGGGATGTGATGGAGCAAAAGCAGGTAGTGCTTCCGTTGAAACCAAGTATTTCTGGAGAATTTGGTTTGGACAACTTTGATTCTCACTTTACTACTGAACCTGTCCAGCTTACTGCAGATGATGATGACACTGTGAGAAGACTGATCAATCTGAATTTAAAGGTTTTGACTGTTTTAATCCTCTTCTGATGTCTGCAGTAGAATGTGTCTGATCCTCATTTTTCAACTCTGCATTCTGCTTATGTTACCATTTAATGCATGGATAAACTTGTTACTAGCCTAGATCCAATTAACCATTTCTTATTTGATACTTAGAAAAAAATTCAATAATCTTCTATCGTAGACTACAAGAACCAAGTATTGCATCTAAATGTAAGTACAAAAAGGAAATTAAGACTAGCTTTCAGACAATCAGACACAGGGCCAAGCCTCCATAAGGAGCCACCTGAATAGGTGGGTGGTTTTCCTGAAATTTAGTTACACTGGTTCTTCAGAGGTCTACTGATGAATAATGAAGTTACCTTTTTTGTTCAAAGGAAATACCACTGTATCTGTTGGATTAAGGCACATAGTGGGATACATCATAAACCCACCACAATTTTTGTCATTCTGTGTTAAATCATTTGATGGTTTAATTTTGGAATAAAAGGTTAATTTAAAATATAACAACTTTTTACATTACCTATTAGTTTTGGAGTTTGTTTTAAAATCCAGCTATAAATTTTATTTCCTTGGATAATTACATCATTGATTTTTAAAGCAACAGTAATTGAGTTAGTTCTACATTTCAGTATATTTTGGCATCAGTTCTGATGAAGTATATTTTGGTACTAGTTTTTGTATTTAAGTATCAGTTGCATACCTGAGTATATTTCATATCAGTTCTATTAAATATATTTGAGCATGAGCCCTATATTTAAGTATATTTTTACATTTCAGAATAGTTTGGTTTAGTTCGTATTTCACCATGTACAGTATCAGGATGCATCCGAATGTCAGGACTTCTGGTTCCAGTTCTGACCTGAGGCTACCATGGCATCTGTTCTGTATTTAAGTGAATGAATGAGCGAATGCTGGCCACCACTCTTCTACTTCCTTCTCCTTTTCCTTTGATCATTCTCTTCCTGGCTGGCTTTTCACTGACAAGCAGTGTTTCTGGAGAAGAGTCTGCAGTGTCCATTTCCCTTGTTCCCTTCTACCTGATAATGCTGGTGGCTGAGCTCTGTCTTCTTAATGGTTAATGTGGCTAGACAAAGGCTTCTCAGTCATTCTTCCCTTTGGTCCGGGCAGACCCTGAGACTCATTACCCTCGGGCACTGAAGGCTGCAGAAATGCTCTGCTTTTCCAGCGACAGTGCCAAGGACTCTGTTGCACATTCAGCAGGCTGACACGGGGCCAAGCCTCTGTGAGGAGCCACCTGAACAGGCAGCTGTTTTTCCTAAAGCACAGTGCACATTTGACTTGCAGATGCAGGATTGTTGGTTTTTGGGTTTCTCTCCTTTTCAGAGAAATAATCTCACTGACTCATCACATCTTTGATTTTGCAGGTGCCAATTATTTTGGTACAGATACTACTCATTTAATGACCTACCTGGTTAATAACTGTTGGGACTTGTGACCTGTCCCCCCCTTTTTTTTTTTTTTGGTACCAGGGATCGAACTCCGGTCCTTGCGCTTGCGCAGCAGGCGGCGAAACCACTGAGCTAAATCCCCGGCCTTTTCCCTTTTTTTTTTTAACAGTTCTATACATCTTGTTTATAGTGCCTCAATGTCTTTTTTTGGTACAGCACACCTTGTTTACAGTATGGTATTTTTGCTGATTGTACAGCACAGTACTGTAGTTTTATGTTCTAAATTACAGTACTGCATGTAAGAGCTATGTAAATCAAAGCAAAGTCATCAAGTTGGACTTTGCTTTGACCATTTCTTTGTTCTGAATACTGTAATGTACATACTTTATACAGTTCCTCATTTAGTGACCAATTCAGCTAATGACCTGGTCAAGGGACTGGAACTGAGTCATTAAACGAGGAATGTATTGGGACTGTCTCTTGTCTTCTACATCTGATAGCTTTATTCTAATTTTTTTTTAATTTATCTTTTTCAGATACAATCTCTGGCTAAAGCCTTCCCTTTAGGACAGTGATAGTATTTTCAGCTAATGTGCTTGCTCCACTTTTGAAGTTTTAATGTAACCATTAGTAAACTAATAAGCTGCAATTCTACAGCTGCACAGTTACAGTAGAAATGGATAGGTTTGGCTCTCCCATGTTTGAAGTCTGAAGCCTCCCTGTTCTGCCCTTCCAGACTGTTCCAGTGATTCCCAAGACTCCCTTCCCCTGGGTGTCTGACACATTGCTCCCCGTGGGGGAAGCACTCACCTGGCCTATGGCGGAGGGTCGAGTGTTTTGCATTCTAGCCCCTTCTGCAGTACCACAGAGAATGGCGAGCGCCAGGAGGGCTCACCTGAGGTGCCCTGAGCCGTGAATGTGCAGGTAGTGTGGGCTCCATGTACCGGAAGACCCTGTGTTGCAGTTTCCTAGTTGCACCCACGGTCTCAGGCCTTTGCCTCCATCACAGTAAGTCAGTCAGGCTATTTACTTCCTGTTTCACTGGATCAGAGAGGGAACAAGCACAAGGTCCAGCAGCTTGCTCTCCCCAGCTCTCATCCTCCAGCCACAGCCCCAGACCCCTCAGCTCCTCATCCTCCAAGCTGCTGCTGTCTTCCCACTGACCCAGCCAGGCCCCTTCCCTGTCTGGTCACTACTTTTCCCCACGTATCACTAGTTGATTCTGTGTGTAAGTTTCAATCTACCGTCTTTGGCCTGATGAGCCCTTTCAGTCTCTGCCCCACCACCTGACAAGGGTCTGAGCAGATGCTGCTGTGCTGCATGGAGGCCATACCATCACACAGCCCTACACCAAACACAGACCCCAACTTCTCGGTGTCACTAGGGTTGGCCAGCAGATAGAAGTGCACTGCCTCAATGCCCGAACCAGAGAGCAGAGAACAGACTCCAAACAAGATGAGAAAGATGTGAAGGCAAGCAATGGGGCAGGAGGGTGGACTAATTTACCAAGCCGTTTGTTCACAGCAGTGCCTTGGCCATGCAACAGGAAGCATCTTTATTATCCTATACATTTGAAGTCTATTACTCTAACATTTGAAAATATCTTAAATACAGAAAAGCAGAGACAGTTGCAGAACTCCCATGGCATAAAAGTCTGGTCAGAAATGCCTTTAAAATCACTCACTGACACCATGAGAATGAGAGACTGTGACGTGCAACCTGATACCATCATGCGCTCTTTCCCTTGTGAGGGCCATGTTCATGTGACCTCCACAGGGAGGAAGACTGCCCAGAGCGAGCCCTGAACTCAGGAAGACCCCAACCACTTCTCAGGGGAGCAAACACCAAGGCATTTCCAGTAGTCCACAGGCAGGGCTACGGTTTTTATATTTTACTCAGACACCCTTTTATTCTACATTTATTACAAAAGAGAAATCTAAATCTTTAACTTCCTTAGTGGGACAGATGACTTTTAGCTCAGTGAAGATCTGGTTGGAGAAAAAGTCAAGCATTCCCACTCAATGCCTTGGTTAATGTCAAGACCCAAGTGCAACACTGCTGGCAGTACAACCATTGTGCAATTCTGTGACCAAGAGGGTGGCAGAAATCAAAGACCATCAGGTCACCTGTACACGACAGTCTGGGCACCAACTACTGACCTGCTCGGTTTTCTGGGTACTCTGATTATAAGGATCCTGAAAAGTTTTCTTTCTTTTTCCCCCCAGTACCTGGAATCAAACTCAGGACCTTACACTTGCCAGGCAGATGCAACATCACTGAACTAAATCCCTGGCCCTTTCATTTCTAATTATTCTCACAGGCTATTGTTACAAAAGGGATGCATATGTAACATGGACTTGTAGTTGTTAAGTCTTTTGGTGGTGACTAAAAACCAAGAAAACTACCACAGTTTGAGAAAACCTCAATTTCTTAAAACTCCAAGTAATCTTAATTTTTCCCATTTCACTTCATTTCCTTTCCCTTATTACATATTTTACCCCTTGAGTTGCTCCTTCTGATTTAAATCCTTCAATATTTCTGCTACTCCAGAAAATGTGAATTCTCCAAATCACAATTATGCTCTTTTTCTTTTTCTTGTCCCTTTCAGTAAGGCCACAGACACATTTTGGCAATGGATTCAAGTCCATTCTTGGTAGCCTAGCTCTGCATTGGCTCCTACCACTGTCTTTCCTTTTCTAGGCCTTGTGACTCCCCACCCCACCTGGAACTGGGTGCTGCCTGTGAGCCACGGCTCCTTGCTAGGCACTCCACACCCTTGCTAGGGCTCTCATTCTGAGACTTACCTGAGTTCTCCCACTTGCTTCAATTCCACCCTGACCATCGCCCAAAGAGGTAGAAGGACAAATCCAACCATCTCCCCAAGGATCCCTCTAGCCATGTTTGGTTAGAGTGGTTCAGAAACAGAGCCCTGGCCCATCCCACCTCAGTGCTGGTGCTCACCGTGGTGTATTCAAAGTAGTAAAGGCAGTTGTCAGTCAGAATGAACCAGCGTCTCTTCCAAGTCTTTACCCTGCCACCTGCAGTGCAAAAAGAGATGCACTTGGCCAACAGACACCCAGGCAAGCACAGGCTCCACCACACACACAGCTCTCTTCTCGGGGAGGGGGAGAAGGGACAGGGGAGGGTGTCGGGACAACATTTAGACCATGGCAAAGTTCACATCAGTGACAAGACACAGCCAAGACAGAAGCATCTTTCAGAGTGAAAGTCTATGGTACGAGCAGAGCAAGCGCGTCCAGGTGACACCCCCAGATGAAACTGGACAGCAAGATGAGCACGTGGGTGGGGAGGAAATCCGGGGCAATAATGGCAGGCAACACAAATGTGCCTTGGCCTACAGAGGCCAGCCGAAGCCAGGTGCGGCAGAAATGGGCAAAGGAAAGAGGCAGGGGTAAGGGTCAGCACCTTGGTGCAGGCTACGCTGCTCCTGACAATCACCTGGGCACCTTAAAGAGGTGCCATGGAAATGACTAGAGGACAGGGATAGGAAGGAAGGCATTGTGTTCTCTTCACAATCACATCCAGCCTCCCTAAAGCATGGAACCAAACTGCTGCAGCTTTACCTCTGACCCTACCTTCCTGGCTGTAGTAAATTTCTACACTGGCCTTAGCCCTCTAACCTAGTGGCCTGAAAATAAAATCTCCCCACACCCTTGGGGAGAATCAAAGCAGGATGCCTCCCTCAGGAAAGAGGCGGCTTGTGTGGAGAAGTCAGTTCAGGAGCTTTGCAATTCCACAGACTTTGGGGGACATTTACAACAAAAATAGCTAGAAGAGGTGCCCATGGGCCAGATGAGCACTGACTAGTGCCTGCGGCCTAGTCATGGCTTCCCTCCATCATAACATTCTTCAACAAGCAAAATGTGGGAGTCATGCAGTTAAGCTGAGCTGCACACTAGCTATGCCCAATTTAGAGGAAGCCAAACCCGCCCCCCCCCCACTGCCCCAAATCATGACCAGGAGCTGCTCTTCTCCTCCACTGACCTCAAGTCAAGAGGGAACTTTCTTGACAACAACCACCCGAAATGATCCCTATTCCTTCCTAAGATACGCATGGCATTCCATGAACACTGACTGCGCCCTGCTCTTTCTAGCACTTGCCCTTCCGCTCAGAGCTCACCTACAGAGAGCACCGCCTTCTCCTCTCCTCCTGGAGTGTGAGTCTCGGAGGGCCCCATCCCACGGCCCTCTCACCCTCCTCACAAACAGCCCAGCAAAGAGCAGGGTGGTTTCACAGGGACTATTTCCAAATGCCAGGACCTGCAGGCTCACCCCGAGAAACCCAGGAGTATGTGAGTGATGTCATGGGAGGGACGTCCTGCAGAACACGGGACATGGATGTTCTGCTGCACTTGACAGTGCTGCTCGGGTGCTTGAACCCCAGGGGAGGTGCTGGAGTGAGTGAGCTTTAACTGCAGGCTCTAGAGGGCAGACCTAGGCTCCAAGGGTGTGAGCCCAGCAAGTGTACACCACCTGCTGCCCATCCTGCATGGGGTCAAGCAGGTACGCTCTCCCTCACCATGATGTGAAAGATTTATGTGAGGGGCCCAAAGGTTAGGTGGCTTGAGTTAGGAAAAACCATAAATGATAAGGACATGCATGTGGACAACAGGAAAGGCTAGGCAGGATTAAAATGAATAAGGAGGAGAAAAAAGGCAGGGAATGTGTTCAGATTGGAGCCAGTATGTTCTTAAAAAGGAACTCCCTCCCCACTGCAGTCTGAGAGCTTAGGTTGTCCAGCCCCGCAGGCAGATGGTTCCCCCTGCAGTTGGGGTACACCATGGCCACCAACCCATGCTGGCCTCCCACGCACGTCATAGGACGCTACCCCAGGTGACATGGGGACTCGGGAGATCATGGAAAAAGTGAGCCAGATGCCAAAAAGAACAAGAGGGAAGGAAATCAAGGAGAAAAAGCAAAGTTGGGAAAAGCTCTGATTTATAAAAGCTTGGACACCTCCCCTGGACAATTTGCTGTGTCACACAGCTCTCCACATGAAGCATCGCTGCAAGCCCATGGGAAACATTTCCACATGGGAAGAAAAACAGACATGGAACAAGCAAACAGATAGAGAGCTGTGCACCTAGGACAGTCCCTGTGGAACTCACAGGACCCCTCCCGCTGCTGGCTCCTCATGCCTGCCCATGATCCCCTTGGATACGAGAGCCAAAACTGTCTTCCCAGCAGCTGAAAGTAACCTGGCAAGTCCTCAAAACATCTGAGCAAATGCCAGTGTTTAGGGTGGTTCTTTTCAGGTGCATTTCTGCTTAAGGCATGCCTAGGCACAAACCTGAGGAGTTCTCTGGCTCCTCCAAGTCAGCAAACAGCGTAGACACCAACAACAAAACTAAGGGCCAATTTCAGGTTTTAAGGAAAAGACTCGTTGGAAAAAAGGGGGGTTAAAAAACAAAAGAAAACATAGACACTAAAGCTGAGGCTACAAGGCCCTCCCCTGACACCCAGGCAACTGAACCAACACTGCAGGTAGAGTTTCCAGTTTCAAGGTTCTTTAAACGTCACTTGGCATCATTTCAAATTTGGGAAATACCATTTCTCTTTTTCATACGAAGGTAAATGTCCTGTCATTTAAGCTTTTCTTAATTTGATTATCAATCACAGTGTCAGAGGCTCCAGGCTTTGGGAAGTCAGGGTTTCTCATTCTCTTTCTCTTCTACCTCGCCTCAGAAACTACCTCTCGTACGGTTGATTGCATATGTCAGTTTGAATTCAACCAACAGCACGTGCCTGGCCACTCCTTCCAAGAGCATGCAGTGGGCCCCTCTCTGCCCTACAGACCCGCCCTGGACTGTGTCCCCGCGAGGCCTGCATAGCCAGGTGAGTCTGCACCTGGGCACCTCGCTGTCTGCTCCACTAAACTCTCCTCCAGGAAGGGAGACCGTGACATTGCTCCAAACCCTTGATCCTGAGCAGTTCCCTAGGGACTGTACAATAAGTTAGAAGCAGCGTTAACACTACCACCAGCAATTAAAGAACAAAATAACCAAAAATAACAAAAGAAAACACTGCAGCAATGACAGTGGCCTGGGCAGAGCGAGCGAGCAGGTTGCGGGGTTACATACCTCCTGGAGTTTGGGGCAAGGAAAAGGAGAGCCAAAATCATGGAAACATACAAATGAGGGAGAAAAGAAAATTAAAACAAAGAAATTAAAGCCAATTCCTTCATCTTAAAGTGCAACGCATCAGTCACATTCATGTCTGCCTGTGAGGGAGCCGGCCAGGGACAGTGGCCTCCTCCCATTGGGGAGAAGTGAAAGAGGAGCCACTGATGAGCCCTGGCCCTGGTGGTGCCATAAATGTTTTTATAAGGCTAAGGTTCGTTTGTCCAGAACCCAGAGCAAAGAGGGTAGAGATTATTACTTTGGGGAAATTTTTCTGACTTTCTTTAGGCAGCTGTCACTTTAGGGTGTGTGCGAGAATGCACACACATATCCCCATGAATACACATGCACACGTGCGTATACTCAGGAACACACGTGCTCGTGGCTGTGTGCATAGACAAACACATACACACAGTACAGATGGCTGAAGTCCTGCCTTCTGCAGCACATGAACACACAGGAGTGACTCCACGTGTGCTACAATGAAAACACAGTATCAAAGAGCTTGGTGATGGGCACGGTGAAGGTTTAGAAAAAGTAATGCGATGACACAAAAATGAGCCCCACATTTAGTTTAAAAAAATAAATTATTTTTGAGATAGGTTCTCTCTATTGCCGAGGCTGGCCTTAAATTCCTGGGCTCAAAGGATCCTCCTGTCTCAGCCTCCCAACTAGCTGGAACAATAGGAGCACACCTTCGCTCCTGGCTTAATTTTTTTATTTTTAAAAACATGGGATGTCTCATGAATTTGCATGTCGTCCTGGTGCAAGAACCAAGATAATCTTTGCCTGTTCTAATTTTAGGATCCGAGCTGTCAGAGCTAACACTTAGCATTAGCATTTAAACAAATTTCATTGGAGGGGGAAGTAAATCCAAACTTGGGACACATTTCTAAAATTTTGTACATTTTAACTCTATCCGCTTGGAAACGAGAATGTGGAGCAGAAGGCTGCCCGTGGGGTTAGTAATTTTAGAGCCCTTACTTCAACGATTCTACTGGCTTTAAGATCTATGAAATGTTGGCAGATTTCAAAGGTATGTGAGGTGCGATCAGTGAGTGGTGCTTTTAGGGGAATTTATGAATTAAGTCATTATGTATGAACACAAGCACTTGGGCTTTTCAAAGGAAATGCAAATCTTATTACCATCCCCACTAGTAAGTAATATGAGTCTGCTCTGGCCTTCCGGGATGTTTCAGTTAAGGCCGAGAGGGAATGACTGGTAAGGCGGGGCAAGTAACGAGATGGGAAAGGAGGGTCTCTCTAAAAGGACACTGCCTGCTCACGCAGGGCTCCAGCTCATCAAAGGCAAAGGCAGAAGACAAAGGAAAGTGCTCTCTAGTGGCCAATAAAATGGGTATCACTATGTCCCCAGAGTGCAGAGACCTCTGTGTGCTGAAACAGTAGTCACACGTGGACATGAATGTGCATGAAAAACCTACTCGTTTTTTTGTTTGTTTGGCTACTCAGTCACCTTCATGGTAAGGCAGGACCATAAGTCTAGGCAATACAAACTCACATTTGGCAGAAGAAGAGGAATACACTCTTAACTTTTCTGAATGAATAATATCATTAATGTGGCTGATTCGGATTGGAAAGGGTGGGAACCACTGCCCGGAGAATGAGTAAGAGTGCTGTGGATTGAGCTGCAGCCAAGGGCTCTAGGTTTGCCATGCAGACTGCCTGTGGGAGCCAGATGCAGAAGGAGGTGATGATGTACGGAGTGGGGCAGGAGCGCCAGGTACAAAACCAGGATGGGAAGTAGGAAGATGGACATGGCTGGCCACTCTCCCAAAGTCAAGGGGGCAGGGAAGGGCACGCGACCAGGTCCTTAGGGGAACTGCCTGAAAGAACCTGGCCATGGATTCAAGAACAGACACATGGGGCCCAGGCAACCATGGGCAGTGCTCTGGGGCAGGGCGGGGGGGTCTGGCCCTGGTAGCCTCTGTCCCGGGGGCGCTGGGTGTGCAGATGACTTCCTTCTGGAGGTGGACCTTTGAGGGAGCAATCTCTTCAGGGCCTGTCCCCCGCCCCTCTTGAGCACCATGCATGTGTACGCACACAGCCTCCTCCTGCAGTTTTCCTGTGGCACCCCAACCCGGGGTGTGACTTACCCAGTTTCAGCAGCCAGCCTTCTCGGTCTGGATTGAAGAAAGTGTGAGTGAGATCATTCCCATCATCTTCTGGGATCTTAAAGGGCTCATTTTTTATGCTCTCATACAGATTCTGGGGCAAAAGACAATGTTGCATGGCTCTGATTCTAGAAGTAACTCTTCTCCTCCCTCTCTCTCCACTCACATTCACTCTGTCCCTACAGTAAACCATGAGCCCCCATGGGGCTCAAGACTAGAGGAAGAAGATGTCTGTGTCTGCTTTCTGGTACTTCACAGGGACAAAGTAAGATGCCAACTGGATAATTAAAAGAAAGAAAAGAAAGCAGTCTGACTTCTGCCCAAGCCTTTAGTTTCAGATTTACAAACCACTTACCCTTCCTTGCTGGGCCTCACTGCCAACTTCTTAGTGAAACTCACATAACTGAGTGAGGTAAGGGAGTAGGCACTCAACAAGTTATACATCTTTCTCCTTTCCTACAGAAACGATCCTGTTCCAGGCGAATTTTACTCTGCTGAAAGGAAGTCGGCCACTCTAGCTCTGCTTACCCGGAGCAGCTCCTCAGGCAGGTCGCCCCCATCGTTGATGCCACGATTCATGGCGATGAACCGCTCCACAGTGGGCTTGTCTTTGACGTTGGGGTTGTGCAGGCTAGTATTTAACATGATGATGGCAAAAGAGAGGACGTAGCAAGTGTCTGGAGACAGGAGAAAGGGAGAGGCCGATTAGAAAAGGCCTGATGGAATCACAAAGTCACACTCTCAGAAGAACGGGACAGACTGGGAGTAGACACTGCTCCACTCCCAGACGTGTGCTATCTGCAAAGGGCAGGGCGTACAAAAGCAGGGGAACCAAGCAACATGTCCACCGTAGGAAATCTCAAACACAACGTGTAAAAAACTACATACAAATACCTCTAATCTCACTATTCAGTAATAAGTTATTTTGTTTCATTTCCTTTACACAAATGTGCCTTTATGTAACATATCACAAATGTTATCTCACAGATACATAACCTGCGTCAAGCTGATGTTGATATATACAGACATACGTACAGACCTTCCTCGTTTAGCAACCAAGTTCCACTCCTGCAGCTAGGTGAAGTGAACTGGTCTCTGAAGGAGGAACTGTATATAGTACGGACATTACAACAGTCAGAACACAGTAGTGGTCAAAGGGGACTGCAACTTGATCACCTTGCTTTTATTTGCATAACTCTTACACGCAGCACTGTAAACAGAACACAAAACTATCACACTGTACTGCACGGTACAATCAGCAGAATCACAGTACTGTATAAACACAGTACACTGTACCAAAAAAGATACTCAAGGGCCAGGGATTTAGCTCAGTGGTTCTGTTGCCTGCCTCGAAAGCTCAAGGTCCCGAGTTCGATCCCCAGTAAAAAAAAAAGATGCTGAAGCTCTATAACATGATGCACAGAACTACACAAAAAAAATGGGTTGTAAGTCCAAACAGCTGTTAAACAAGCAGGTCGTTAAATGAGGAATATCTGTACATACAGACACATATTTGCTTGCTAATCTTGCTGTTTTCCCATGCCAATAAAAGTTCTATATAAAAACATCATTTCGGGGGGATGTTGGGACAGGGTCTCACTATGTGCTGCAGGCTGGCCTTCAATTCACTAGGTAGCTCAGGCTGGCCTTAACTTGCAGGGATCCTCTTGCTCAGTCTCTGGAGTGCTGGGATTACAGGTGTGCTCCACCATACCCAGCCTAAAACATCAGTTTTTAAAAAATGACTCTCACTATGTTGCCCAGGCTGGCCTTGAGCTGTGATGCTCCTGCCTCAGCCTCCTGTGTATCTGCAATTATAGGCATAATGTGCCCTCATGCCCAGCTTCTAAAAATGTGACTTTTAATCATTATATTTGTCATGGTTCAGAAAAACCACCATTTATATTCTTAATGTCTTAATGTTGAACTCTGGATTGCTTTCAACCTCTTACTACTATAAATATTAAATAAATGTTCCTAGGCATGAATTGTAGCCCTTTCATTTTAGAAAGTATCCAATGCCAAGAAAAGAACCAGGTTGGAAGAGCCCGCCTGTGCTGGGCCGGGAGGGCGCCTCACTCACCTGTGGACTGGAACACCCCACTGTTGCACTGGCAGTACCGCTGGGCGAAGGCCTCCATCATCCGGTCGATCTTCTGCGCCTCCCCGGGGAGCCGGAAGCTCCACAGGAACTGCCTGAGGGAGAGGACGGCTGGGTTCAGGACTCATGGAGACAGTTTATCCGTGAGCCAATGATTTTCAGTATCAGGGTGCAGGGAGACCTGCTGAGCCTCTGTCTTCTGTTACAGCAATGCTGAGCAGATAGATGCAAACCAGGCCACCTCACCACTACTTTAATCAAAGGGAAATTGCTTACAAAAAGTGAGAAATTAAGATTTTGGTATTTCAAAAAATAGATCTTCTCAGGATAATACTCACGACTAAAATACAGAGAAATGCTCATTTTACACCCCCACAATACAGGGTGGCAGGCAAAGCAGGTACAACCGATCCCTGCAAGTCAGAGAAGACCTGTGGCCGGCAGGTCTGGCCCTGCTTTCTCTGCCTTCACCTAAATGACAGCACAAAAGGTAACCCTGTTATTCACACCTGCAGCAGTGAAAATTCAGGGGGACAATGTCTCAAAAGGCACCAATGAAGATTTAGTGATAAATTAAAGTTTAGTTTCTTCTTTCAAAAATGAAATAAAATACACAACTACCTATTCTTGGGCAAGAAATTAAGGGGTTTAAAAGCTGAAGAGTAGAAAAGATTCCAAAATCTCAGTATTCACTAGTTTCCCAAACCTTAAGTGTAAGCCTGGAGGAAGACTTCACAGCATTTGCCTGCAGGGTGCAGCGCGATTTCATCCCCTGAATGTCCAGCCTTTCACTTACAGGCCAGGAGATTGCCTCCCTTCAGAGTATGTATCTGAGACATTCACAATCATCCCCCAGAGGCAGCTGCAGTCAGATGGTGCAGGAGATGGACCCGGGCCCAGGCCTGCCCTGCCCTCCCCAAGGAGCCCAGGACGTACCGCAGGGCCTGGACGAGGTTCAGGTCCGTGAACTCATGCAGCTCCACAAACGCGTGCAGGACTTGGATGTTAAACTCATCTCTGTCAGGAACGGGAGAGAGGAGGAAGCAGAAATCAAACACTGATGCTGAGAACCCACCCCATGCCAGGCGGGGTCCCCAAACTGCGTCCACGCACCGCACAGCCTCTGCGCACAGCCACCCAGACAGGAGGGCGTCCAGCTTGCTGTTTCCTGGCTCAGTATGAAAGGTGCCCCCACCCCACAGACCAGCACTGCTCTCCTGAAGGCTGTCGCTCATTGCCAGCAGAGGCAGCAACCTCCTCTAGAAGGTGGGATGTTTAGGAGCTTGTGCATCAAGGCCTCACCTCTCCCCTAGGTAGTCACCGATGGCTGTTTTGTTGAGCCCTTCTCCCTTGTAGAGGAACTGGGCAATGTCTTCACAGGTGTTTTTCAGCAGGTCGTTTTCTATCAAGAACTGGATGCCCTGGAGAAAGATCACAAAAGCCAGCAGTGCCAGATTGCGGCAGCTGGAAAAAGGAAGGGGAGGGGCAGCAACAGTGTGGGAGCCCTGGACACAGAGTATCTGGTAAATATTCACCAGTGGGTAGAAAGGGTAAGGGAAGTCATGGTTAGAAGCCAGGGCCCCTGACTCGACCAGGCTAGGCCACATGACACTGACCCTAGGAAATGGCGGCCTGGGAGAGACACCTCTGGGTTCCACCTGTACACCAGAAAATCTCCATCTTAGAACCTATGGGTCTCTGTCATTTCCTTTCTGCTTACCTTTTTAGGATCCATGTTAAATTTCTTCCTGCCCATGGCTACCTGTTTGTTCCTCTGCATGTTTTTCCTGAAAGACAACCACCATAGCCATTACTGCTCTGGCAGGGGGACGTTCTCGGAGGCTGTGTAGACCCCACATCAGCCACTGACATACAGAGGTTTTTGAAAGATTGGTCTAGGAAAGCAACAAGACATAATTTGGTCTAAAAAATCCTGAAACCCTCACTTTTCTCTGTGCTCATCTACTTTTCTGATATGACTTTTTAAAAACTTCACCAAGGGGGACTGGGGATTTAGTTCAGTGGCACTGCACCTGCCTCGAAAGCACAAGGTCTTGAGTTTGATCCCCGATACCAAATTAAAAAAAAAAACTTCACCAAGGTATAATTCACCTATCTCCACAACATACCATTTTAAGTGTATACTTGAAAGGTTTTTAGTAAGCTTGCTAAATTGTGCTACCATCACAATCGAGTTTTAGATCATTTTCAGCAATCGAATGAAATTCCTCATGCCCATTTCCAGTTAATCCCTTGAGGGAGAATTACCTCTGCCCCTAGGAAACTTATCAACCTACTTTCTGTCTCCACAAATTTGCCTATTCGGGACATTTCATAGGAACAGTATCATACAATAACTGGACTTTTGTATCTGGCTCCTTTCACTTAGCATAGCATTTTCAAGTTTTATCCATGCTATAGGATGTATCGGTACTACATTCCCTTTTTTTTTTGGTACTGGGGATTGAACTCGGGACCTTGTGCTTGTGAGGCAGGCGGCAGAACCAGTGAGCTAAATCCCTGGCCCTTACATTTCCTTTTATTGCTGGGTGACATTCTTCTATATGGGTTCGAATACATTACGTCTTCCATCCGCACACTAGGTGATAAACATTTAGACTGTTGGCAGTTTGGGGTGGTTATGCACATGACTGTCATCAGCATCTATACGCACTTCTTGGCTTGGGCAAGTGTTTTCCTTTCTCTTGGGCAGGTACCTAGAGCCAGGCATTTCTGGGTCATTATAGTACATTTATATCAGACTTTTTAAGAAACCTCCCAAATGAGAAGCAGTTTTTTTGACCTGCATCAGAATGAAAAATGGAGATTCACAGACCATGCTTCTCAAAGTGTGGTCCATAAACCCGCAGCCCGAAGAGTCTCTGGAGAACCTCAGCTCTCCCTCACAGACCCCACTCTGGGGCCCTGCCCAGAGCATCTGTGTTTTATACAATCCCACATGAGGACTCTGAGCAGCAGGTCCTGAGCCACCGAGTCAGTCACGCAGCCAAGGAATTAGAATTTTTAAAATTCCCTCCAATAATTCTGGTGTGTACCCTAATTTGGCAACTCTTGCCATCAATGACATGGTGATTTTATAGCTTCAGAGAACAAAACGTTGCTCAGAAATTAAAATTTAAAATGCTACTGCCTTGAGGAACATGAGGAACACGTCTTCACTGGCTGAATCCATTAGAGGATCCTGTCTTGAGGTTTTTGAAAGGAGCACTCGAAAACTCTGAGAATGCTCTGAGGGGACCAAGACACAATGTGACGAGGTCCACATGGGAAGTCATGAAGGGAACATGATGTTTCACTTGAGCTAGAACAAATGGCTGGGACCAGATGTCTGGAAATTCCCACTGAATATAAATGGTTGATTAATCTTTTTTTTTTCTAAATCCAGGAAGCTTACTTTGATTTGTATTTCCAAATAAATACCACAAGGGAGAGCCTGTTTTGTGATTTCCTGTAACAGTGTGAGGCAATCTCATGGGTCCAGAGGCAGGGCACACAATCAGCAGTGAGCCTGTGTCCTGGGCCTCAGAGAGGTCCCTAACTGAAACCCTCCGGGCCCCAGGAAACACAATACAGACCACCCTGCCTTCAGTAGTATACTCCAGGTCTCCTGCAGCTATGGTCACTGCTCGCACTTGCCTGGGACATGCATGGAGATGGCTGACTACCTTCACCGGTTTCCCAGAGCTCCAGCACTGGGCTCCAGCACTGAGGCCCAACTCAGGCCCACAGCAGGCACTTCTCTAACAGGCTTTCCCCACTTTCCACACGTGTCGCCTCGAGTACTTTGTGCTGCTACTGTGTCACTTTAGCCAACTGGTGCCTCTGAACTTTACAAACTCTTGCAGGGTAAGTGTATCAATTCTATTTGATTGAATAGCAATTAGAGGCATTTTTACAAAATAGTGGCACTAGGCATCAGGCCATAAGACAGTGGTCTTGTGGAAAAATCAGAATGGATATAACACCTAACACCTATCTGACTAAAAAATTCTATCTGTACATATTCCCTGGAGCTGCAGAATACCTCCTGTGCCGGACTTTCAATACCGAACTATTTTAAGTTCTAGATTTAAAAACATAAATAACCAAATTACAGCTGCCTGACTCACACCTTCAAATGCAGCTGATGAGAGCCCCACTTTTCATTGAGTTTGCTAGCTGAGTGTGCTAGCGGCCTGGCTCTCCATGCTCCTGACATCTTCATTTCTTGCTCGCTCTACAATGCCCCCAGAAGTTTAATCAAGCAAATGGTACTCTAAATCCTGCATGTGCATGCGCGCGCGCGCGCGCGCGCGTGTGTGTGTGTGTGTGTGCGTGTGTACACACTAAAACACATAGAAAGAAAATATGCCAAAACCTCTCTGGATAACTGATTATGGAAAATTTGTTTTCTTTATGCTTTTCTTTATTTTACCAACTTCCTGCAATAAATGTGTATTACCTTTAGAATCAGAAAAGGGCTATTTTTTTCTTTTAAAAATTCAGGTATAATTCATATTCAACACGATGCACACATCTTACGTGCACATTCCACGCTTTGATAAATACCCTTGTGACTACCACTCCAGTTAAAACTGCTCCTGGGCCGGGGATTTAGCTCAGTGGTTTCACCTCCTGCTGCACAAGTGCAAGGACCTGAGTTTGATCCCCAGTACCAGAAAAAAAACCAAAAAAAAGCTTCTAACATAAAACCTGCTCCTATCTTCCCTCTTGGTTCCCTCACGTCCCTTTCTGCCATCCCCTCGACACCGTGAGGGACCCACTGCTATGATTTCTATCACCACAGCTCAGTTTCTGCTGCCTCAGAGACCCATAAACTGCAAGTATAGCTCCCCCATGGCTTCTCCAAATCAATGCGATGTTCACAATGTCCAGCCACATTGCTACAGGCAGGCAACTCATTTCTTTATATTCCCAAGTCACAGTCCGCTACCTCTGCCTGCCTGTCATTCACCTGTTCGTAGGCATTTAGGGTTTTTCTATTTGGGGCTATTTTATTTTGTTTTGTTTGCTTTTTGGAACCAGGGATCAAACTCGGGACCTTGTGCTTTTGAGACAGGTGGCAGAACCACTGAGCTAAATCCCTGGCCCCTATTTTGGGCTATTTTAAAATGAGAATGCTATAGGGGCTGGGGATTTAGTTCAGTGGTTCCGCTGCCTGCCTCGAAAGCACAAGGTTCTGAGTTCGATCCCCAGTACCAAAAAAAGAAAAAAAAAAAGAAAAAGAAAATGCTGTAAGTATCCTTTTATAAGTCTTTTAGGAAACATGTTTTCATTTCTCTGGATAAAAACCTGGGAGTTGAACTTCGAGGAATCGGCTAGGGTATGTACTTAACATCATACAAATTGACAAAGTGTTTTCCCAAGTGGATATGCTCTTATTCTGGTTAGCACTCGCCAACACCAGGTACTGCCAATCTTTTCCATTTCATTTCATTTCACCTCATTTCATCCTAGTGGGTGTAAAGTGGCATCTCTGGCAATTTTATGTCACACCCCTTTACACTTAATGATGATGAGCATTTTTCATGTGTCTACTACACATACAGCTTCCTGTGCCAAGTACCTGTTTAGGGCTTTATCTATCTTTTACTTGGGCGGTTATTTTATTTATTTTTTTGACACAGAGTCTATTTTTTGAACTATGTAGTCCAGACTGGCCTAGGACTCACTATGTAGCCCAGGCTGGCCTCAAACTCCCAGCGACCCTTCTGCCTCTGCCTCCTGAGTGCTGGGATTACAGGTGTGTGCCACCATGCCTGGTGGCAGTCATTTTAATTACTGAATTACATGTACTGTTTTACATCTATTCTGGATACAGGTCTTTTTTCTGATATATGTAATTCAGGTATTTTCTCCTACCTTGTGGTTTGCCTATTTTTTTTTTTTTTTTTTTTTTTTTTGGTACTGGGGATCGAACTTGGGTCCTTGTGCTTGCAAGGCACTGAGCTAAATCCCTGGCCCTTCATTTCCTTCTTAACAGTTATCTTTTATAACAACAGATTAAACTTTGATGAACTCTAACTTATCCATTTCTTTTACACTATGGTTTTTTTTAATGGAAAGTATGAAAGCTGTAATCCCAAAGTCCAAGATGACAATTCAGAGAATGGAAGCAATGAACTGTAACACACAGCCTCACTCGTCCTTAATGGCACCACCCACAGGAGTTTAAAACAACACATTAAATGGCCTTAAGAAGCCAGACAGGAAGACTTAGGCTTAGAAAAACAAAGACATGGAGTGAACTGGAAACAGCCCATTTATCACATTAAGCACTTAGAAAACGGTCTGGGAACCCCACTCAAAACTAACCCCTGAACATCATTAATGTTTTATGTCATAAAACACATGCAGAGTTCTTGTCATTTTACACTATAATTTAACTTCTATATTATCTTCGCTTTAGTATTAGGGATGTGCAAATAAGCTCAAAAATGTTTCCAGACATAACTGGGCACACCAGCCTTCTGAAATTCCATTAGTAGTGTACATTAAACTTTCCTTTACCCAAAGGAAAAACAGAAATTTTGTAATACAAACATAGTAGACAAGACATAGTCCTTCACACAAAAACTTCAGAGCACTCTAAGGCTTTCTGGGGCCTCTGAAGTTCTCTAGTCCACTCTGAAAATGTACAAAGCACCTAAACTCCCCAGCCTTGTGTGGAGGCTGGCAGCAAAAGGTGAGGCTGTATGTACCGCCAGGACTGCAAGGAGGAAAACCCATTCTCCTCACGGGGCTGCATTTGTGCAAGGAACGGCTGGGCACACTGAGGAGCCATGCCTCGAAGCCCAGAAGCAGGGCAGACTCACCTCTCCTCTGTGGATCCCAGGCTTTCAATTTCATTAGCAACTTCTGCTATCTCGTCCTTTAGCCTCTGCAAGGAGATGGACGAGAGTTATCCAGAGGGGAGACGTGGGACAATGGGATACTTCCAAAGCCCATAGAACTCCCTCCACCCAAGACAACATAAAGCATGGCAGAGTGAAACAAAAACAGGGCACACAGAGAAATCCAAGGACTGAGAAAATTCATGTATTCAACAAATATTGACTGCATTCCTAGGAGAGAGTAAGCACTGCATGGACACCAAGGGAAAAGACAGCTCCTGGCCTCTGAGTCCATGGTCTAGGAAAGGAGTTCATATGCACATACACTGTGAAAAATCGTATCTTCACTGAGGAATGGCTGCCTTGACCCAGACTTTCATAACACACCTGTGGCTCACCAAACACAAGTGGGACAGAAGGCCAGGAGGGACACTCTCCTACCCATTTAGGCACGTGGGTGGCAGAGGGAATGTCTGATCAAATCCACTGCCGGCTGCCACCTTCCCTTTCCCTTCAGCCAGCCTTGGAATGAGGGACTGTCACAGTAAAGAGGCCAGAGGGAGACCTGCTCCACTTTCCAGCATTTGCCAATGAATGGGGAACCAAGTGATCAGGGAAAACTGTTCATCTGTTCTCAAATCAGCACTCCAGAAAGTCAGTCTTTCCTCTCACACTTAGCAGCTCAGGGTTTCAGGCCCCTCTCCACTCCTGAAGTTTTACAAAGAATTCTAGAAGAGTAACATTTAGGGCCTTGGGGCTAAAATAACTTAACAAGTGGCTTCTATGTCTTGTTTCCTACAAAGCTTGACAAGTATAAAAAGTAACTTGGAGAAACAATAAAATTACTGTCACTGACTACGTATCTCCGGGAACTAGAAACTATACTCGGGTCTTCAAAAATATCACCTCATTCAATCCTTGTATCAACCTGTGAGGGTATTTTCATTCTTATCCTAGAAGAAAGAAACTGAAGTCCACAGAACCAAAACTCTTCTCTCAAATCACCTTGCTGGAAAGTGGCAGCACCAGCACCTGCACAGGGGACCAGGGAACCTGAGACCCAACCCCTTCAGCCACCCTCCAGGCACAAGGGGAAACAGCAGCGAGGACTCTGCTCGGGGCCCCTCAAGCTCTGACAACCTGCAGCAGGGCGAACTTCACAAATTACTTAACCTCTCCAAGATCCCACTTTCTTGCCTATAACTAGCAAAGGCGAGTGCGGGTCCCACATGCATCTAAAAGACACTCTGAAGGACACATGCACACACACAGCGCATCGCAGCTGCTTCTACTTCAGTCAACCTCCTCACGTCCTCCTACCTGAATGTCGGCCAGCAGCTCCTGCTTCCTTCGCCTGATGTTCTCTAGCTCTTGACGCTCTTCTGCAGTGAGGTCACTAGGAACTGCAAAGAGAAGGGAAACATTATTGAGAGCCTTCATCTCACCCAAAGCGAAGAAAAATCTAGAAACACAAAGGGACACAGATACCAGGAAGGAAGGCAGAAGGCAGCTTCAGAAATGATCTACTGCTAGGAATCATTCTGGCTCCAATTCTCGTCAGGTGTGCTAAAGAAAGCAAGGGCCCTCAATTACACAGAAAAGTTCTTACAAAAGAATGTCTGGAAAGGAAAATAAAGACAGGAAGACTGCTGAGGGTTAAGTCAGGCTGGCCATGGATGACATCGGTGGGTGCTGGCTGGCTGCATGGCCACGTTTGCCCTTCTAGCTGGGAGACCAGGCTGCTGCTGATTTGATCTTGGCTGCCTCATGGTTAAAGATGGAAGCAGAGTTGGTGAGGCGGCACACACTGGTAATCCCAGTACTCTGGAAGGTTGAGGCAGGAGGATCACAAATTTGAGTCCTGTTTGAGCCACTTAGTGACTTAGCAAGACCCTGACTCAAAATAAAATGTAAAAAGGACTGGGGATGTAGGTCAGTACAAAGACTCTGGGGGGCCTGGGATTTAGCTCAGTGGTTCCCGCGCCTGCCTCGCAAGCGCAAGGTCCCGAGTTCGATCCCTGGTACCAAAAAAAGACTCTGGGTTCAACCCATAGTACCACAAAACAAATAAAAATAAAAACAAAACAACAAAAACCAGACCTCCACGACCCTGAGTTGAAGTGCAGCATGGAGAAGTTCGTCTGGGAGGCAGCTGCCAAACCCACGAAAGGCTTCGTGCCACTCTGGGGTGGTATGGGGGCCAGGAGACTGTGTATACAGTGAAACAGCACTTAACTCTGGTATGAGACTGTCTCCTTCTGCTTTACACCCTTCTACATGGTTTAAATAATGTTTTGCAAGGTGTTTTCATCATCAGAGCCAAGCTACCTAAATTCCCAGATCACAGTTCCTACCACAAAACAGCTGCACAGACCTGCAGAGACTAAGTCTCCATGTCCTTTGCGTGGGGGCTGGGCGGGAGGCCCCCTCCAAGATGACCCTTCTGGGTGTGCTGCGGGAGCCAGGTGGCCGTGGAAAAACTAGAACTAGGTGAGCCGCGTACAAACCCTGCTCCAGTCTACCACAGACTGTGTCAGGCCCTCCAGAGAAGTTACCTAACCTACGTGGGCCACATTTCATTGTCAATAAAGTAGGCATACTATCTATCACTCACTCTCTAAGGCACTTTGAAAACAAAGCAGACAGAACTCAGAAGTATCCCTTTAGCCACGTTCCAAGACCCCCAGTGGGTCCCGGAAACCAGGACAGCATGGGACCCTGTAACTTCTGTGTCTTTCCTGGACACACATGCATGTACTTAATGCCTTCTCCACCTTAACTACACACTACCTTGCACTGGGCCCAGGTTTGAAGTGCGGCTGCACCTGCACCAGTTTGTTTTTCCTGCCTCACAATTTCACAGAAGTTCATGAATGGAAGCGACGGGGCAGTATGACACAAAAGTTCACCACACTACTCAGAACAGCATGCAACTTAAAATTTAAAGGTCTGAACTGCTTATTTCTGGAATTCTATTTAATATTTTTGGGTTGTGGGTGACTGAGGATAAATGAATCCTGAGAGGACTGGGGGGTGAAAATTACAGTGCCTCCCTCCTTTATGGTAAGGCGCAGGGCACTCACAACCCTGGGGGGAGTGCAGCCCATTCTGCTTTTCAGCAGGTGTCTGGATGGCCCAGAGCTGTACTGCAGTATGCTGGCCATTAGCCCTGGGGGCCAATGCACACAGGAAATGTGACTACCCACCTTGAGATCCACTTTCTATATAAAATAAATAATACACATTTTCAGTAACATTTTGATGATACACTGATAGCATAGTCACTTGATGGGATTTTAATTGCCCCCACAGGGGAGACTAGCAAACAAAACTGCATTTGTGAATCACACTGTATCCCACAGGCAGCCCCAAGTTGGAAGGAGCCCTCTGTTCAAGGGCACAGATATACACTCACTGCCTGTGCCATCAAGGCTTCATCTGCCACATTAGAGCAGCTCCGCCCTGACACTTCATAAAGATCACTTCAGACAAGAGGTGAGGGTGGGAACAAGAGCTACAGTGGAGCCTGCAGCCCAGGCAAGCAGCTCCGGGGCCACAGCTGGCTTCCTCTTCACCAGCCTTCCCTTCCCACTCCAACTCAGTGCCTTAAACTTCTCCAAACAGACAGTAAGAAATGCACTTTACGTCACAGCCCAATCTCCCCATATACAAAATGACTAAAAACCACACCTCACAGATGTGAAATGCACTGACATTTTCTGTCCTGTCACTTTAGTTTCCCTAACAGTGGCTGAAGTCCTTAAATGAATTTTGTAGCCACTGGAGCACTGATTCCCATGGTTTGAAAGCACTCCTCTACTTTAGAGGCTGGAAGATACTGCACTGTGAAGTTTCCAGCAGACCACCCCAGCCCAAGCCAGGCCACCTCCAGCAGCAGCCTTAACCGAAACTGGAGCACATGGGGATCATCCCAAAGGGTGCTCAGGACTAACCCTACCGACCAAAGCCTTGTCAGCGAGCCTACAGGAGTTCATTTCATTAGGCCTACGACACCAGTGACAAACAATACGGCTGGCAACAGAAAAACCCATCCTGTAGCAAAGAGACTGTCAGGAAGTAAAGACAACTTTAAAACAGTAAACTACAAAAAGGGGACAACCACAGCAAAAGAATACACTCTTGCACATTAAACATTTTTGTCCCCAATCTCAGTCTAAAAATAAAAAAAAGTCAATAAAGGATTGAAGAAGTTGAGGCATTCTTGTAGAAGAGAATAAAAGAAGAGGTCTGAAAATATAAGCAACAAATCTACGCATTCAGTATAGTGAAATTTCTAAAAAAATCTAAGAAATAGGGATTCAAAATAAAGATTCAGAAGTTCAAAGAGTAAAGAAGTCCCTAAAATCCCCACAGGGAGTGGGAAGGTGGTTCATCAGGCCACCCACAAGGAAGAAGCTGAGGCGTCAGGAGGACGACAATAGCACTGAGGACGGGGAGGCGGGCCTTCAGAACTCAAAAGTCATTTGACCCTAGAGCTGTCAGTTGAGTCGGAGGGCAAATCAGAATCATCTCAGGTACTTGAGGAGCAAAAGGCCAGTCTCTTATGCATCTCTTCCAAAGAAATGACTTCAGGAAAGGAAGATGTGGGTGCAAGGGATGAGGGACGGGGGACACGCCGAGCACACTCAACTGGGAGGGCAGAGAAAATCAGACCAGGTCAGGAAGGAGCACAAGGGCTGTACGTGGGAGGTCACCACAAAGAATGGTACAGATTGTAGACAAGGAACAGATGAGAGAGCCGCCATGAAACACTTGTGAGATGAAGAGGCACCCTTTGATCTCCTCTTAACTGAATAAGAAAGTACTTGGACACAGGGAAAACAGAACTAAAGGGAGTCATGGAGGGAACAGAGCAAGCCACTGGTGGCATCATCCTGCAGGGCCCGCCTGGTTCTTGGGTACCGGTATATACGTTCCTGTCAGAGTATTATATTTGAGGGTTGTTAACTTTCAGAAGCAATCTATAGACAAAGCACAGAAGACTGACCCAGGTTAAACAACACAATTTACCTTTTATTGACTGTGATGTTGACATGAAGGAAGAGCTGACAAACGTCCAAGGGGAGGAGGCCATACTGAGAGAAAAGCCCGGGTCCAACAGGAGGCAGGAGGGATGGGTACAGACCATGGAGTGAGAATCCAGGCCGTAAGAACACTTACGGAAACTTCAAAGGTGAAAATAAAGGAACCAAAAATGTGATAAACTATCAAAAAAGCAACAAAATGATGTGAGTTGTAACCTTGTCCATGGTAGGAGGAAGTCAGAAGATAATCTTTAATTTTGACAAAATTATCAGTGACATAAGAACTTGGCAGGACCTACCAGATCTGAAACCAGAGTTCCTTAAGAGCAGCTATTGTAGGAGTTGGTCGGGGAATGGAGGAAGGGGGCATTTGAGCCCCTGAACACTTGCTTTAAAATAAACACACGTGTACAACGTGGCTTGAAAGTGAAAGATACAAACGTTAATCTTTGGTTATTAGGAAAGACAGGCCTCAGAGTCCTTGCAGGCAGACAGAAAAGGCTTTTAGCCAATTTGCAGTTAGAATAAGCAAGGCATTTGTTCCATTTGATCCAGGCTCTTGACATGAATCACATGATTTATAAATTACTTCTTCATCTCATACTTAAGTAACATTAAGTTACAGCGTTGCTTCCCTTTTGATTCAACAAATCAACACAGCTTTTTTTTTTTTTTGAGACAGGCGTCTCGCTCATATACAGTGACTCTTGAGCTCACTGTGTAGCCCAGGCTGGCCTCAAACTCATGATGATCCTCCTGCCTCAGCCTCCTGAGTGCTGGGAATACAGGTGTGAGCCACCACGCCCGGCTCAAATCTTCAAGCCTCCGTTCCCAAGCTGCCCATGAGAAAAAGGAATCTCAATGACCAGAGGCTTGGTCTCATTTGACGGAACTGAGGACCAGCACTTTTGCTGGGGTGCTGGAGGTGTGGCTGGTTCCTAGGACTTCAGCTGCCACATCCTCTCTGCACCAGGGCCTAGCAGGAAGCTATCTGTGCAGACCAAGGGCGGCTCAGCTTGATGGGCCAGATGGCAGAGTGATAAACAACTGCTCCCTCCCCCACTGCCACGTGCTGCAGCCACACTTCTGTGCCAGGGAGGCGGCCTAACCCTTTCTCTAAAAGAATGAATGCTGGGGAAGGCAGCAGGTTGTGCCTACCACCAGCCTGAGCACAATGGGGTGGATCAGAGAGGGAGCTGTCCCCATACATAGCCACCTGCCTCCTGCCCAGTGCCCCTGGAGGGCCCGAAATCCATGCCCACAAAGGTTAGTCTCAAGGTGTCTGGCTGGCAGTCAGGGGGATGGTCAGGCATCAGACCCCTCGCCCTTCCTTTCCAGGGTTCCAATGTAAAAAGTAACATAACACAACAAGGGGCCATTGTGCTCACTGTGAATAGAAAAGCCACACAAGGGAAGCTTTCATTTATTTATTTATTTAAATGTTGCTTTGTAGATTTTAACAGTCAGCACAAAGCAGAGCTGAAGTGGGTTGCAGCCAGCACATACAAAGGAGGACTGTCTTAAAGGGGCAGCGTGCTCTTTCCAAGCCGAGGGAAGGTAAACGAGCCCAAGGAAGGCACTGGTCTGAAACCCTTCAATCCCTGCTCTGCTGCCAGGGCAGCTGTCTGCGAAGTGCCATGAAGGCCCACTGAAGACGAAGCCCCTTTGACTGCAGGCTCTGCTCAGTGGATACACAGCAGCTGCTACCCAAGTGGACAGGGCCCTCCTAAATCCGCATGGGTGCTGTGAAGTCAGAGGTCCTAGGCATGCGCTGGAAGTGAGATCTCCCTTTGAGATCATCCAGCTACCCCCAGGGCCCTCTGCCTGGCTTTAAAATATATCACTTGCCTTATTTTTTCTGCCAAATAACTCACCAGCATCCTCTCATATCCCATCTCTCAGTAGGTAAACTAGCATGAACTGGTGCTGTTCTGCAGGTCCAGGTAGCTCTTCATATGCTACATTCTTATGGTCAAAAGTAGACACAGGAAACTGCCCGGTGAAGAGGACATGCTCCTCCAGCCTCCCAGATGCACCATCCCAGTGCTTTCGGGGTAGAGAACTCCAAAGGCGGGGAGCCCTGGAGACAGCACTGGGCATCACCTAGCCACCCTCCTGAGGGGACCCTGCTAGTGAGACCTCAACAGCAGGGCCAGGGCCTGTTCACCTCTGGAGGCCCAAACCAGTTTGTCTTCCAGTAAATCAGTGACTTGAAATCTCAAGAAAAACTTCAAAGTACTAGAAAGAACTCAGGCTTTGAAGCCATGCCGGTGTTTGGCAACTAGGCCTCGGTTCTGCCCATCTGTAAAATGGAACCACTACTGTCCACTGCTGGCATCGTTACAAGGGTCAAGTGCAGGCCAAGGAAAACACAACAGAAGGCACAAGCAGGTGCCCATCAAAGCCTTATCTGCAGATCCAGTTTGCCTTCCACTCCAGTTTCTTCCTTCTAGGCCACTACTGCTCACTGAACCCACACATGTGCTGCTGTCTCACAGCTGTAGGAACCACAGCCCCAGGAAATACCTACGGTCACACAGGGCATTTCAGGGATCTTGTTAAGGGGCCATGCCTTGACACTACCCAACCAGTGGCCCTGAGAGACTGCCTTGGGTCTTGGGCCCAGCTATGTGTACCTCAAGAGAGCAGTACGACAAAGAGTTGCTTCCAAAGCAGCTCTTTAATCCTGGCTACCTCTTTTACACAGCTTTCACAGCACAGACCACCTGAGTGAAATGACCCCGGGTAAATCAGAAACTGCACAATAAGAGGACTGCACCGTGAGGCCCCCTAAGAACTGCAGGTGAGGCAGACACTAGACAAAGGCAGTTTCGGACTTAAAAACAATGACGAAGTTCTCAGGGGTCACTACAGCAAATGAAGAGTGGGTTGGTTTGAGAGAATCTGTTTTTCTCACTGAGAAAAGCAGTGAGGAGCTTTCACAAACTCCACGCCAATGTGACAAATGCATGTACGGTGTCGGGTCTTTAAGACAAGGATGAAAATGCAACCAAAATTGAGAGCATCTTTCAGGTAAAGGGTAACAGAAGACAGAGTAAAACAAAAAACTGAAATGGTTCAGAATTTCACTGACAGCCCCATATTCAGAGTCCTCAGGATACATACCAGGATCAGGGGACAAGGGAGGGTGGTCAGAGAAAAGGGTATGACCAAAGTCAGAGAACTCAGTAACACACTGATGAGCTCACATCACACTTTTATAGAAAGTCTGTCAACTTTACATGTCCTTCCTCATTGAGTCAAAACCTTAGCATCCTTTCTAAAACCTAACACTACATCATCCAGGCTTCCTTCTGAAAAATAAAGGAAATTCTGCTACAACACAGATAAGTGCTAAGGTCACTTCAGTGAAATAGCCATTCACAAATGAGCAAATACTGGCCAGGTGTGGTGGTACATGTCTGTAATCCCAGCACTCAGGAGGCTGAGGCAGGAGGATGGCTTCAGGTTTAAGGCCAGCCTGAACTACACAGCAAGATACTGTCTCAAAGAACAAACAAACAAAACAAAGCAAGAAACAAATAGGCAAATGCTATTGGATTTCACTTACTCAAGGTCCCTAGAGCAGTCACATTTATAAAGACCGAAGTTAGGGTTAGGATGCAGTTCAGTGGTAGAGCACTTGCTTAACATGCACAAAGCCCTGGGTTCCAGCCACAGGACCTCAAGAAACAAGATTCATAGACGGAAAGTAGAGTAGAGGCTGCCCAGGGATGGGGAGTTAGTGTTTAATGGGGACAGTGCTTCTGTTTTGCAAGATAAAACAATTTTGGAGGTTGCTACACAACAATATGAATATACTGAAAACTACTGAACTGTGTACTTATAATTAAAGTGTGTTTTCTTTTATGTTTTATATGTATTTTACCATAATTAAAAATAAACAGGGGCCAGGGATTTAGCTCAGTGGTTCCCCTGCCTGCCTCCCAAGCACAAGGTCCGGAGTTCGAGCCCCAGTACCAAAAATAAATAAATAAATAAACAAACAGTAATCTAACAGTATATTTTAACTTCCTAATTTTGCTAACTTTAGTCCCTTTTCCAAGAAACTATGATTTGACTTTTTTTTTTGGTCCCGGGGACCAAACTTGGGTCCTTGGACTTGCGCAGCAGGCGGCGAAACCATTGAGCTAAATCCCCGGCCCTGATTTGACTTTTGTGAGAAGCACTTCAAACATCTCACCACCACTTGCACTTAACCAATTCCAAACTAAGAGATTTTTAAAAGAATTTACACACACGGCCAAACCAAAAGAATTAAATTAGTATGCAGTTAGTATAAATGTTTTTCAGCACAGAGACAGAGGTGCCTTCTAGTAAACTGCCAATACAGATATTTAGACAATTTTAGTTTAAACTCTTTCCAGGCAAAAACTACACAGTCTCCTGCCTAGAAGTCCATGGAAATGTTATTGCCACATTCTGCTTGTGTGTGTGTGTGTGTGTGTGTGTGTGTGTGTGTGTGTGCGCATGCATTCAAGATTGAATGTGGGGCCTTCTTACAGAGATACATCCCTAGTCCTTTTTTATTGTGAGACAGGATCTCACTAAGTCACTAATTTGCTTGGGCTGTGCTTGAACTTTGTGATCTTCCCACCTGAGCCTCCCAGAGTGCTGGGATGACAGGCACACCATGCCACGGCTGGCTAACATTCTGCATGTTTAAGGAAGACTTTATTCATGTTTTCAGTCTTCTACCCACTACCCTGACAACCAGGCCTCGTGAGTTCAGAAGGGACACTGGCCAGGGGTGAGACAGGGAGGAGTCCAAACAATCCTTGTGATTTCACTGACTTCTCTGTGACCTTGGTCAAAACCTAACCTCTCCTCACACCTGTTTCCTCATGCATGGGATGGGCATGTCACTATACCAACCCTTCTTAATAACAATGTATATTAAAAAAAAAAAAAAAAGAAGAAGAATGTATATTTAAAAGCTCCATAGGGCCGGGGATTTAGCGCAGTGGTTTCGCCACCTGCTACGCAAGTGCATGGACTCAAGTTTAATCCCCGGTACCAAAAAAAAAAAGCTCCATAAACTATCTTATAAGTGAAGGTATTTATCTCTTTTCTTGTAGGGAACCAACAATCTTATCTAATAAATCCTAGAACTCAAGACTGAGTTTGCATGTTGTGATTCAATAACTAACCAGAGGGAAATGAGGTCAAATTTCAAGGTGGTAACAAACTAAGTCATAAAATTTTACCCTGAAAATGTGGTTTATAAAAACAAAGTTAACGTCTGTTTTCAATAACGGCTAAAAGGTAATAATTGTGGGGACCTTTTCTTTTTCTAAAACCTTACAGCTGGGATTTGTGGTAGCTTTTCTCCAGCACCTGGCGTCAAGCCTGTCACCACTGCTGTTTCCAAGAGGATCTGGGGTCTGGGCAGGGCCGGGCCACAGTCGGTGAGGGGCAGTCCGCTCCTGCACCAGCCTCCGAGACAGCAGACAAGCAGGGTCCTCAGCTCTCGGGGGGTCTGGGAATTCCCCACTCCACCAAAGACCTGAATGATCATGCTTGCCCCTCCTCCGAGGGCCAGGGGCTGTGTCTCCTGGATGAAGCACTGCTGCCAGCTGCAGCCACTGTCACTCTGCACAGCTGGGCCACCACACCCCTTCTGTCTCCAAAACAGGTCTGGTGGGGGTTTTAAGAAGTCAGCTTTCTCTCATGTCACCTGTTCTAAAATCTATTTGTGTGCTGGCCCCTTGTCCCACCCTGAATTCTCCTGTACACTTAAACATTCTTCCTCATACTGCAGCTGGAAAGGGCCCCTCGGATCAAACTGGATGAACATCTCCAACTCCCTTCCATGTGCCTTGCTGGAACCAGGGCTGCCAACATCCAGGAAGGGCTCCAAAGCCCAGAATGAGTAAGTAAAAATCTCCCAACCAGCTGGGCAGGCCTAGAGGGGAGATTCTCAGCCTGAATTTGTCCCTCTGTTTTCTGCCACCCTGCTTCTAACCTCACCACAGCTGGCTCTAGAAATTGATTATTAGCTTATCCCTAAGTTTCAGTCCAAGAAGAAACTATGCCAAATGCTTGACTACCTATTCACAAGCAGAGGACGGGAACCCAAGAACAGACATGCAGAGAATCAGCTCCACACACAGCTCCTGCTGCCGGCAACACTGCATAATAGAGGGAGCTGCAGACCTGGTTCCACACGCCATCCACCCCGCCTCTTACCCGTGGCGAGTCCCCTCTTGAGAGGCCCCAGTGTCCTGGCAAGCCCTGGGCAGCAACATCAAAGCCTCGGCCGGTCACAGCTCTCCGCGTCAGAGGCCATGGTGGCTCTGTGCAGCGATCCCACAGGCCCAGGCTCCCTGGAGCTCCCCCAACCCTGGGTGCAGGGAGAGCTGGAGCAGGGACAGCATGTGAGTGCCAGCACAGAAGGGCAGGGGAGGAGGCTGCAGGAGGAGACAAAAGCCAAGCAGCCCAGCCGCGGGTGGGAGCGAGCGGAGCTTGGTGGGGAAGGCTGGCTTGGCCCCGGGGATGGGGGCACCAAGCTGGAGCTGCAGCCTGGCTGACACAGTATGTGCTCTCCGCTCCTTGCAGGCTCATTTCCATGAATGCAATCACACCGCCCCTTCTCGGCCTCCTGGGGGAGGGGAGGCACCACTACCATTCGCTCATAGGCTGCACTTGCTTTCTTTTCCCCTGTAGAAGCAAAACCTGATGGCTGCTCTCACGGGGAGGATGTTAACCCTTACTCCAGAGGCCCTCTCAAACAAGAGGCCAGGTCTGCAGAGGCTGTTCTTCCCCTGGCCCCGCATCAGGCCAGCAGGCGAAGTGGCTCTGGCCAGACGACTCACACCGTCCTGAAGAGGCTCAAGAGGCAGCGTCCTCTTCAACCCTGGTGTGGGGGGTGTTGAACACTCTGTCTCCACATGGGATCCTCCAACCCCTCTGCCGACAAGGATGTGCCTGTGACTCTGCAGGCAGGCCAGCCCAGAGGCTGCTGTGGGCAGTCTGGGCCGCCCTGGTTAGATGAGTCGGGCAAGTTGATCTTGGTGATGCTAACACAGGACAAGGGCTAGTGACCACAAGCACAGCTACCGCCCACACCCAGCGGCTCTGACTTCAGAGGATAGGTCACCAGGGGCACGTGTCAAACACCCAGACTTGGGGCCCCATTCCCCAGATATAAATTCCATAGGCTAGGCTTCCCAGTGAAACAGAACCCAAGGTGACTACCGACCACACTGAGAGAAGCACTGCCTGACAACAGGGAAGAGATATAAAGAATTGCAAACAAGTACCAAACAAGTTAGAAGGGAAAACAGTAAATTAATGCACTAGACCAGGGCTCCTCAATCTGGGTACTGCTGACACGAGGCGCAGACCACTCTGTGGTGAGGGCTTCCTCCCCGGGCACTGGGGGTGTGTTCCCACCAGAGGCAAGCAGCACCCACAACCACAAGGTGTGACTCCCCAAAATGCCTGCAGACATCTGCAAATGTCCCCTGGGGGCAGTACTGCCCCCCACCCTCCCTTCCAGTCTCCGGCTGAGAAGGTTCCCTTCTTCTTCAAGCCCTGCTCTTCCATTTGATCTTCTCAGCCCAGCTCCAATGTGGACGGACATCCTCATCACCACGGCAGTGCCACCAGGTCTGACCCAAATACTCTGGTCTCGCTCCAATCTGTCTTTTAAGAAACAGCCACAATATAATTTTACTCCTGTGTCAGAATGGTAGAACTCAGTTAAAAGAATCATACTGAGTCTGTGAAAAACAAACCCTAAAATTATTTATGAAACTTCTGTCTTAAGCTTGCAAGTTTGCGATACAAATGTGGACTGAGAGTCCCAGCTGGACACATCCACGGCCTCCTCTTTCCCTCTCACGTCTGGACAGTGATCCAGCTCCCATCCCGCCAGAGCAGACCCCAGTTTGTCTCCCCTGCCTGGACCACCAAGCAGCCTCTCTTCGGCTCCTCCGCCCTCACGGTACCCAGGACCTGACCCCTACAGAGCTCCCGGTTACTCCTGCCACACTCGTCACCCAGCTTCACAGGTCACCGTCACCTGAAGGCCTTCTCCAGTCACTGTCTCCTCTGAATTTGTTTGCATCATGCAATTCGCCATCAGGTTATGCACTTCTCTGTTCCCTGAGGATTTCGTGTATACATGAAATTAAGCTCTCGCCTTTCACTGTTACCTTAGCCCAGAGATGGTGAATCTACGGCACGTGCCGCAGCCAGCTGTTATCACTGAAAGCTCTAAAAAGTTTGCCATTGCTGTCTTACATTGTGAATATTCTCCAGAACTTTACCTAATCCCAAGAGCTATGTCCCCTTTTTTGAGGGAACACCACTTGGCAAAGTTGGTAAGATGTGATTCTGCCCTCAAAGAGCTCACGTGTCGCTATTCGTTTTGAAGGAAGAAGGAAGCGCCCAATCAACATGCCCGCAAGGTGCTACTGTGCCAGGGGATAAGAAGAGAGCGGCCCACATTAGTCCAGGGTAACTCCACCGAGGGCCAAGGCTGGTGCTCAGCCTCAGGGTGTGCTGGGAAGGAGAGGGCATCGGGGCCAGGCGAGGACAGCAGAGGCAGAAGGGCGGCCTGTATGGGGAAAGTCTGGAAGGCAAGCTGAAGTCGGCTAGTGCCTCTGAATTTGACACAGACAGCTGATTCTACTCTGTTGTTGAGCTGGGGGTGCAATTCAGAGAGAACTCCCGGAAGGGCAAGCAGCGGCAGGGAGGCGCCTGAGAAGAAAAGGACTGGAAAGCTTCCAGGGGTCAGGCAGGAAAAGTACAGGGACACAGTCATTTGCCTGGTGCGCTCAGAACATCAGAAGTGGAAGCAAAGCTAAGTGTTTCTGCCCTCTCAGGCGCATGGCTTCCTTCCCTGATACTAATTCTCCAGAGATGCTGCTGACTCTCACCCTCCGGCCTCTGTCTAGGACAAGGGTTAGCTGGAGCACACAGTGACTCTCTGATACGTGTGCAGAGCAAATGGACACTGTCACCTGCTTTCTGTAGGGACTTCTGATGAGGCAGGCACAGAGCGAGGCATAATTTGTATCCTTCAATTTGCAGCCATTTCGAACTTGGGATGCACAATGCTGCTCACAGACCCTCTCCACACAAGAGGTGTTGGCCCCACCCCAATAGCGGGCCCCTCCTCCAACGCTGGTGCAGAATGAGCAGAGTCTCTGGCCATGATCAGGTTCTCAGTCTCCCTCCCTCCCTCCCTCTCAAGTTTTTATCATTCTACTCTATTCTATTTAAAAATGATAGTTTGGTTCTGCCGCCTGCCCCGTAACCACAAGGACCCAAGTTTCATCCCTGGTACCAAAATACAACAACAACAAAATGACTGGTAAAAGTAGAAGTATCAACTAGCATCTGCTCTTGCTCAAGAAGAGCCTCAAGGTCTCAGGGGGGAAGTCATTTCTACCCTTACCTCAAAGTAGAAATACTGACTCCCAGGGCAGGGGATTTAGCTCAGTGGCACCACACCTGCCTTGCAAGTGCAAGGTCCTGAATTCAATCGGTACTGAAAAAAAGAAAAAAATTAAAAGAAATACTGACTCCCAGTACCAGACATTCTTCCACAACAGAGCTGTCCTGGGACCGTGTTTGAGAGAAGCACAGGAGCAGTGAAAGCACCAAGGAGAAGTGGGAGAACGCTGAAGAGAGCCCCGGCTGTCTGAGTCCTGGCCAGGCTGCAGCACTGTGGGACCTCAGCCTCCTGGCCGGGCTCAGCACCGGAGAGCAGGCTTCATCTCTGAAGTGGCTGCTCCTGGCTGGCTCTATGCACTGGGTCATCTCAGGCAGGAAGAAAACGATACAGAGAGAAAGAGCAGAACAGCAGCAGGGGCAGGCCCAGGAGAGTCAGTGCGGGGGAGGCCGGAGGCAAGCAAAGGCTTGCACCTTTGAGATCCAGGTCAGGACGTAGGAGGATGCTCGCACCCAGTCAATTTTAAAGAGTGCAAATGCTAGCATGAGCAACACACCATTTTCCACGAGTCTGACAGACATCAAAATGTGTGGGGATGCAAACGACAGTCAAGGCTGGGTGCACAACAGTCCTACATGCTGCCATCAGCGTGAACTGGCACTGACTTTTGCACTACCCACATACGTTACAGTTTTATTTGAATCTGACAGTTTGGTTCTTAAGCTCTTAAATATAAACTCAATTAAAATCTTAAATTATATTTAAGAATTTACCTAATGGATACGGTACCAAAATTGTAAAAACTGAAAATTAACAATATATGGTGATTACAGAGTGAGGTGCTCTGCAAAGCTAAGACTAAAATAGGACGGTTCAGAACACTGTCAGAGCTTCTGCTCATGCATGACACATGATCGGTGGACAAACTGGAAACTGCACACATTGAACACCACTAAATCAAGGACTACAAGCAGGAGGGAGGCTTTGAGTCCTCCCTCCCTTCCATTCTGGGTATCTGAATCCACAATGCACACAACATTCAGTATTAAGTTTTCTATCCAGAGAAAAGGCAGAAATGCCACCAGCCACTTACATCTGCCCAGACTAATGTTGCAGTGTTCCTTCTTGAACTGTTCTGACACCCATGAAACCTGGTGTAACTACTCCCACAGGGCTGTGGCTGCACAGAGGGCCCTTCAACATCATTCTCTGACCCAGAATCCTGACTCTTAGCAAAAACACAAAGGGAAAGAGGCTCAGACCCCAGGGGAGAGAGAGGACTCAGGGGCAGCCATTAACTTGGAAAAGAAATGCAGGGATCTTTCTGAGGTCAGGTGTTGAGCTTCTATGAATTCTCTGTAAAGAACAAGACACAGGCAAGGGACTATGTCCTTAAAACTAGACCTATGTCTCTCACCATGCACTAAACTAAAATCAAAATGGATTAAAGATCTAAATATTAAAATAGAAATGCTGAACTGGCTGGAACAGAGGTTAGGTAGAACTCTTGAAGACAATGGTGTAGGAAAAGATTTTATGAACAAAACCTCAGTTGCCCATGAACTAGCACAAACAATCAACAGGTGGGATCTCTTCTTATTAAAAAGCTTCTGCACTGCAAGAGAAACCACCAACAGTGTGAAGAGACAACCCACAATGTGGGAAAAAATGTTCACCTGCTGTTCCTCAGAGAAAGGTCTACTATCTAGAATCTATAAAGAACTTAAAAAAACCAGACCTCCCAAATTTAAAGACCCAATCCAAAAATGGGCATCTGAAATGAACAGACATTTCTCAGACAAAGAAGTAGAAATAGCAAATAAATATATGAAAAAATGTTCAACATCACTGGTCATTTGAGAGATGCAAATGAAAACAACGCTGACCCTCACCCCAGAAAGAATGGGTGCTATCATGAAATCAACCAATAACAAATGCTGGCAGGGCTGTGGGGAAAGAGGAACCCTGCTCCACTGCTGGTGGGAGTGTAGACTGGTGCAACCACTGTGGAAATCAGTATGGAGATACCTCAAAGAACTAGGACTGGAAGTCCCATTTGACCCCGCTATTCCACCGCTGGGGATCTTCCCTAAAGAATTAAAAGAATCATACCACAGTGATATATGTGCGCCCATGTTCATAGCAGCACAATTTG